AGTTGATCTTGAGTAATCGTCGGAAAATGAAATAATATTTAAAATTGTACTTGCAACTTGTAGACGACTTGAAATATCTTCTATAGTTTGATTGGCCAGTTGATATCTAGCACTTTTGAATAAATACCAGCCGTTATTTATAAGAGCTACTTCTGTTCCAACTGCAAATGCAGCAAGTGGATTGGCTACTGTCATAATCTGACCATGAACTTCTAACATAGCCTTATGTGGCAGTAGAAATACATCTTCGTCTCTGATGTTAAAGGTTCTAATACCAGTTTTATTTGGTTCGTTAGAATTTTCATCAAGGTACTCAACAAACTCGAATTCTGTCACATCGTTGTCGATGTCATAAGTTTCTGTTAAGTCGAGATAATTTTTAACAGACATTTTATTTTATTAGATTATACAAAATTTTATTGCGGCACTGTTACTTTAGATATTAATTTTTGTATGATCTGCTCGCCCTTTGGTGATAATAATTTTTTTGTTGTTGTTATCATAGCTTTTTGAGTTTCTTTTGTTGGAGCGATTTCTGAGATAACTTGTTTTATTTCAGATGCAGTCTGTGGATCTCCTTTTATTTTATTAGCTATTTTTTGTCCCACCGCAGTCCCAGCGGCAGATGCAGCCCCAGTTGCAAAAGCTTTACCAGCGTCAATAGCAATTGGTGCAACTTTACGTGCTATACCCGGAATATTTTCAATAACTTTAGTGAATATATTTCCAAAAAATCCTCCTACTATTTTTCTTCGATAAACTTTTTTTCTTTGTTTCATTATATTTGATGTTGCATAATTTTTACTTTTGCTCGCGTAGATGTAAATAATAAGTTACAACTTCATTACTAACATGTAACTGTTTTCCTGATTGATCTGTCAACTGCATCCTTATACTTGATATTTGATCTTCAACGTTTAAAGGATAATATATAATATGTCGTGGAGTTATTTGCATGAGAGAACCTGGCGGGACTTCTGGTGAGAAACTGTAAATCGTTTGACCTTTGCTACCTTTTGATGTATAAGAGCCAGAAGCAATAGAGCAATTTACTAATATTGTATTTACTTCTGTTATATTTGCTGGCAGTTCACTGTCATATGTAATAGGCTGATCAAGTGCAGTGTAAGTTTTTTCAGTAAATCCTAACAGTTGTGCAATACTTCTTTCTCTTGGTTCAAGATTGATTGCTATATTTTTCAAAGTTATCCTAGTTCGCAATGTGTTATAATTTGCTGCTAATTCAAAATTATCAGCCACACCGTCAGCTTTTGTTATGAGCTCTTTGATAGTCTTGTTTAGATCTTCAATATTATAAGCTCCTTGTGGAATTTTTATTTTTTTTGTTGTAGATATTGAAGATGTTGTAATCATAGTAAAATACATTTCATCGTTAACATCATTTTTCACGTTAGGTATAGCATTCCAGCAAGTACAAGAAATTAATCCAATTTCATATTGTTTTGTAGGATCTAGTTGGATAGGTGGAATATAATTTACTGAAAAATTTGCGCTATCTTCTGTAGACTCGCTAGAGTTTAGTAATAATGTTGTTTGCATTCCTTTAATATTATATCATTTTACAAAATTAAGTCGCCGCGATTAAGTCGCGGTGTAAAGTTTCATATTCGTCAGATGTTAATAATTCACTCGATCTTAGATGATCAAGTATGTCAATGATTTCATTATCAAGTTCAACACTAACATTCCCAGCTTCCTTTGATGAACCAGTTGATAAAACTTTACAATTAGCGAATTTTCTCTGGTGTTTGGAATTTATAGTTGAACAAAAATCTTTTATTTTGATTACCCAAACATAGGACTATGTAAACTAATATTATAATGAAAAGAAGTATAGTTGATTTCAATCATATTTCAAAAGATATTCCAAAACAAGATGTAGACGCATTAATACAATATTATAAATATTATCATAAAAAAACTTTGGTGTGTGAAAAAATGTTACAAATACTACAACAAGATCCTTCGAGTAATATCTTATCTACCATTGTTAATGACCAGTTCTGGTATAATTTCAAGTGGGGTATCATTAAATCCTTTTTTGTTAATCATATCCGCTATTGGTGTTTCACTTACAGCGGCGTGTAAAAAAGTAGAACCAAGACTTTTGATAAAGAAGCACGGTTGTTTAACATCAATTAAAACTTACAAGAAACTACTTGATCAGATCCGGTCTTACCTACGAGGAGTTAAATATAATATGGATGATTTATTACGTGAATTTCGTATTATTGACAATATGTTAACAGACATTCTACCAATGAGGGTTAGCAAGTATGAAAAAAAATATCACAAAAAATATGAGTAACATAAAATTTTATCTAAACTTAAGATATAATATAACTAAAATAATATCATTTTCATTCTAATGCTAGTTTAATTTCCGCCTTGTTAACTGAAACGTTCTAATGCACAGTTTAATTTTCATCCTGTTATCTGATAAAAAAATTTGTGGTAAAATCTATTTGCCGTCTTTAGAATAATCATATTCCACACATACGCTGTTCTAACAAATTCGTCACTTCTGTTGACATAGCATATGGCATTCCAACACCTGTTGTTTTGTCTGGTTACAAAATATCTGTCTACATAGTAGTAGTAGAGGGAAATGAGGGGTTTGGCGGGGGTGGGGGAGGAGGTGTGGAAGGGGGTGGGGTGGGCCAAAACCCTCATTTCACTATTTTGGAAAAAGGGGTGGGGGATAATTTAGGACTATAATTTATACTTGTTTGAAGGGTAAAAAAATAAAGTGGGATGAAACCCTCATTTCCCTCTACTACTCCTTTACTTCCACGTATTGCTTCGTTACTGTAAGTTCTGATAAATTCCACCGACGCATTGGCGTCTCTGTTACCTCCTTCTTGGTGATTTAGACCAGGTTTTTTTCTCGACAGCGATTAGAGAGTTCGAAGCAGCATCGTTGATGTCCGCGTTGGACGTTTGTACTTTTATAGTTCGATCTTGAAAAATCACAACGGCTTAACGTGGCAGTGAAATCCCGCAAGAGTCAAAATACGACACCTCACCATGTATGCGACCCAATGAGTACCATGTCATGTTATCGAATTTAGGTTAGCGATGACAGATTCCCACAAATGTGGAATAATTGTTGAAAGTTCATCACACATAAAGACCCCTTGAAATGTTGTCTCCTCGAGTAGATCAAAGCCGAATGATGAACGACAGCTACACTTTGCTTCCATGACTGTCAACAGCGAGACCATAATTGAGGTCCTTGGCCCAAAAGAATTCGGTTTCGAGTTCTCCAAGAGGGTTGAAGTCCTCTTCCTTTTTTTATAGAAACGTGCGTCCATTAGAGTTTCCGTTCCCATAACTTTTATCGAGAAGATTTGGAGTTCATCTAAACATTCTCGGACAATATCGCTGAGGTCATTTAGGTAATATATCGCATAAACGGGTATTTTTGCGTTAAGATAATGAATAGGTATTAGATATCAGGTTGATCTTAAATGTACAGTTGCATCACAAAAGTCTTCGAGCGGAAGTCTAACGTGTGTCTATTCTGTCCCATGAGAAAAAAAAAATAACAAATTGGTTATTCTTGCATGGAAGGTAAACTGGAGCCTTTGGTGTAATCTAAAGCAGGTCACCCGGGGAAGACTTTGGGGAGAACCCGAACAATATGTAACATTGGGTCAATACATTTTATAAACCTGAACGGTAAATGCCGCTGATGACGTAGAATGTTTGATTAACTTTAACCTCTTTCGTACTCTGAACAGCATCTTACGCGATTGCATAACTAATACCGTCAGATCCTGCACGAATAATTCGTTTGCGCTCTGGAATTATATTCATATTTTCAGGCTAAGCAATAACCGCTCTAGCGACGACTTGCGATGCCAAACATGTATTGTGGAGATTCGATTGAGATGGCAGAGCTGAGCATGCGTTTTTGTATATAAGCATGAACATTTTACAGAATCTTCTAGTAACCAACGAAATCCTCCTTCGGCTCTCATTGTCGACTGATTTAATATTGGTCTTGCCCGTAAGAAGACCATTAACATTCCAAGTATCTATTCGACCGCTTTCTGCAAAGGACACAAGTGCGTTGTTCGCGTGGAAACCTCCAAACGGTGTTGATCAGATGATAGGCCAAATGCGATAAACGAGCGTGCAAAATTTCCCTGTGGTAATTATCTTCAGAAAACCATGTTATATTACCTTTTCGTTGACGAGATAGTAACTATCTAGCTGACGCTCAAGGTTTTATTTTAAACGACATGCTGTATCGCAGCACTCATTTCAAGAAGAAGAATAGACGTTTCAAAATTCATTATCAGTTTTGTACACATTATTTATGTCTGTAATATTTATAGGTGCATGATGTGACCAGTGAGCAACCGCTTATAAATCAACGACGTCTGCCACGTTAGTATCAACGCAAACCTACCTTACAAGTGTCTCCAATCAATTTACAAGTGTCGTGGACCCACTGCTGGCTTAAATTAACACAATTAACAATGGGCTAAATTTGTACGTTCCTGACACCATCACCAAAGACTTCTTCCGGGTGCGGTCTCTTTAAACTGTTCCCGATATACCCATGCTTTAAATACGGCATTTATGGAACGTTTATGTAATGTTTTCAGCTGTTCTTGGGGAAAGAAGCGAAAAGGGCTTAGACATCCTAACCAGTCTTAAGGTAGCCAAGACAAGTCAATATTTCAGGCTGTGATTTCAGCTTTGACTTGAGTGGCAGTTTTAGATGTGATGTGAGTTGATTAAGATTTTTAACGTAGCTTTAACAATTATTCAGTCATATCGCTACGATGTTTGCAGTGTGTCAGTTTATAGTGATATCTAGCACTAGGGCATCATACCGCAGATACTTAGCTTGATGTCCCACCCAGTCACAACATCCTGACACCAGACCGACTAGTCCTTACACTAACTTCTTAATGCTGAGCACCTGGCGAGGCAGCTGTTAGTACCATTTTTGTAAGTCTTTGGTATGTTTCGACCGGGGATAGAACCCACGACCTTCCGCATCTTAGGTGGACGCTTTAACCACTAGGCAATCGGAGCGGATGGCAATTTTAGATGATGCACAGATTCATCTCCAATGCCCTCTTGCGTTTCCGACGTTGCCTCTCCTGTTTCATCAAGGATTTGTTGAACTTTCTAAATTATCTCTATTTATTAATCGTTCAATGGTTTCAGAGGTTTCGCTTATGATCAACGGCGCAAATGTTTGGTCGAAACCCGAGATCTTCCTGTGAAGCGTATCGCGGCTTAAATATATCTTTGACGTGCAAAAAACTGGCTGTTGGATGCATGCATCAAATCCATGATTACATCATAACACGGTTGACTGTTCTACCTTATCCATCGCATAATCATATTTAACAGTAGTTGAATTTTCCCGGCTATTGCAGGGCAAATGATAAGCGCGCGAAACCGAATTCGAAAATGGAACTGGTTTTGATTGAAATTGTGCTTTGGTGGTTGGTGCTTCACGGAATTATAAGATGTTGATGGCTAAATAATTTGTTGATAATGATGATTAAATAATCTGTTGATGTTGATGACTAAATAATCTGTTTCTTTCGTGATGCCATGTTGAATGTCAAATGTTGCATACTTACCATCATGCCTTCGTAGTGTGTGCGATGCCGCATAATACAAATCGTACCAAACGTCCAACTTAAGTTCTAACGCGTAATGGCAAAGCCTGAATCGCTTGAATTTGTTACCAATGTGGCTGGGTCGCTGCGAACATGCCGGCACTCAATACGGCCAATCCATTATGCAACGATTTAACTGTACCGATGAGGAATGATTATCTGGGTAACAGTTCGCGCAATAATTATTGATTCATTATCTGTCTTGCGAGTGTGAGGTGGTTTCGTCCAGTTATAGCAGCACTGAATAAAGAAATTACACTCACAACTACGTTGAGATGTGCTGACGCAATTCGTTAAAAAATGTCATCTCCAACAAAGCGACTTTGATGCCGCAGCCACCCATGTCCGACATAGCCGAAAACAATCTTGCTCGGTATTGTGTATGCCCGCGGAATATATGAAGGATGATTACTTGGTGCTACTGAACTGGTATGGTCCGTCGACGTGTTTCGATCTCAGACCGGGTTGATATTCAAGGAAAACCAACTACCGTTTGCCTGTTTTGACAAAGTCACTGCCGAGAGAGAGAGAGAGAGAGAGAGAGAGAGAGAGAGAGAGAGAGAGAGAGAGAGAGAGAGAGAGAGAGAGAGAGAGAGAGAGAGAGAGAGAGAGGCAAAAAACCCTAGTGTGAATATAATAGGGGTTCTGGGTTGGGAGTAGTGAGAAGTAAGCATAGCTCATACCACATTATCATACTGTAGCGAAATACTCCCTCGGCTATACTAATCAGAGTCTCGCTATCTCGAGTTCTTTAGGTTAGTTCTTGTATATGGAGTGATACCCTGGTGAACCTGTCTGAGGACTGGCGTTCCAGAGTGTGACAGCTTTCTTCCTCAGTGGGATACCGTCTTATTCCTGGCTTCTTGTCCATGACTTGGTCGCAGAGTCGCTGACTGTGTCGTAGACTTGGTCGCAGTCACTTTTCGCAGGGTTACCGATTGGTCTTTCTCTGGTCGATGACTAGGATGACACTCTACAGTTTCGCATTTTGCATAGGGTGAGAGTTCTAAAGAAACAAGAATTTCCACGATTTTCTCACCGGCAACAATGGCTATTTAAATAAACTTTGTATATTTTAGGTATTGTTCAAAGAACCTTTAATTCCCTTTATTTTAATATGCGATTATTGATGGGTGTAATATGGGTTAAAGAGTATACAGTTTGGTCTTACTCCAGATGTGCACTTTTCAAAAAAGTTCTAGGTCCACTTAGGCATTTTCTTTTCCTGAACTTCTGAGGTAAATTGTGAGGACAAAAAAAAACCGATGACTTTTTTTACATTTTATATATTTGGTAATTCATTCATTGCAATTTGAGAAGCTGGTATTGTCTAGTTTGGCAAAATTTATTTTCCATATTTTAATAGTTGCCAAGAATAGTGTACTTTAGACAAATTCAGGTTGATTTTTGGAGCACAAGGGAGCAGTCATGTTAGTTAGCAGTGTCCTAAGATCATTTAAAGTTTCAAAAAGTTCAATATCCAAAGAAATTTCAGCCACATTACATGAAAGTAGTATATAGGTATGCCAACATTATCTCCACTTTGCATATTTAAAATGCAAACAACTTCACCTTACATACATCACTCTCTCAAAAGTACATAATAACTGTTGAGCACCATTTGATCGCAGATTCGCCGACTGGGTCGCAAACTGTTTCTTCTGGTCGCCGACTGGGTCTTACTCCGGTCACCGACTTAGTCGTAGAGTAGCATCGTTATCCGATCGAGATCAAGACGACAGTGCGAAATGATGAAAGAAGAGTTATCCTCAGTCAAAACCTGTGCGTTCTTTGTTCGAGCCTTGTTGCGCTGGATTTTGGTCGACGAAAGACCTTGTCCCATCTCTTTTCCGATTCCCTGGGCTGGCCCTCTGTCCAGCGAAATACGACCAAATGTGCTTGCTCTGGCTATATTTGCAATGGACGTCTACCACTAAAACACTTCCAGTACTATAGCAGCCACATTCAGCACTTACACACACACACACACACACACACACACACACACACACACACACACACAGGCAGAATCACGTGACCCAAAGACTAAGACATTAGATGGCACTACAAAGTATCGAGAGAGAGAGAGAGAATCTTGCTCCCGACGTGTGTGTGTGTGTGTGTGTGTGTGTGTGTGTGTGTCTTTGCGAGAATTCAGAAAGGACAAGTGTGTATGTGTGTCTAACATACAGTCGTGTATTGTAAGGTCAACTCGAATCTGTCTTCAAGGAAAAACAAAAACTGCGGAGAAATGAACAGAATCCACACATCCGTGTGTGCACACGTGCGAAAGACCTCCTGATCTGGGATTTTATTTTCTAAAAGCGATAGGTATGAATACATTATTTCTCGATTTATGCTGGGTTAATTCAATGCGATAGCATTCTCAGTGCCTTCGACAGTGCCTTCTTGCAGTGCCTTCGACATCATCCATGTTTAGTTCAAATAATTTTTATCACGTACAAAAGCTCAGGAATGACAAATAGCCAAACAACCCATTCTTAGTAAACAGGAAAATCAGAGAATTTCATCCATATCGTAGTACAGTACTACTTTCTTCATTGAAAGGGAAACAACTCTGTGGACAGTATAATTGTGTGTGTGTGTGTGTGTGTGAGAGAGAGAGAGAGAGAAAAAGAGAGAGAGAGAGATTAACATACAGACGTGCATTGTAAAGTCGGCTTGCAGCAAATGACTAGAATCTTGTGATCTGGAATATTTTTTTCCGATGAGCGAACATTGACGAAAATTGTGCATATTTCTTGATTTATACTTGGTTTATTTAATTAAATATTACTATTCTCATTTTTCTCAGTACCTCCATTTTCATCCAAATTTATTTGTGTTTTGTTGTTGTTTTTTGTTGGCGCGTTTCTATTAGAAACTTATGATGAACGAAAATAATATAGTGTTTTTCTTTAGCGAGAGTGTGTGAGTTAAGAATTTTTTAAAAAATAAAATAGTCAACATTTTTTTTTAATAATCCCTGCTCACGTAAACATAAATAAAATGAACAGAGGAGGTTAATTATTAAGGCCGGTTACTTCATTTACAAATATTAAATATCAACATATTTACCGTGTTACTACTTTATGACGTTAGACAATATTTCCAGGGATTTAGTACAGTGTCATTTTACCCGAGTCTGTAATGAAATTCCCAGATCTTCATTTTCACAGTGAATGATAAGTTATGAATTCACACTTGACTTTTCTCTTAAATGATCTGCCAAGGAAGTCGATGAACAGGCAGTTTCCTTGCTCTATTGCACGAGAGTTTCGGTGAGTTAGTATCCAAAGAAGTCAATGGTCACCTATGTCTTCATATCACTCTTTCAAGATTTTCGCTTCGGAGATGAAGGTCCATGTGCCTTGCAGATACTCTACCAAATTTTGTTCTTGATTGATCATTACACAGTTGTCTTTTTGCATCTAAGATGAGCGATTTGACAACTATTACATTATTCTTTGGTCAGGCATGCGATTTTTTAAGCTAAGTGGCGAGCAACACAGGAGATTAAATGTTGTTCTTGGTCTGAATATCGTGACATCAAGGTTGTATCTTTTTCTTGATCATGTGTGGTCTGTAAATATCAGCTTCTTTGTTTACGTCCATGACTTTATATTCCATATCTTTATTTTCTTTCTCTTCTCCAAGTAGGGTCTGTGACTACGGTTCTGGATGTAAAACTCTTATTTTCTCTTTTTTCATGAAGTCTTGTTTCATTTATTGTTTTCATCGATGTTCTTGTCCAATAAGTTTCTGTGCCTGCTGCTGTTCTGGATAGAAAATATCATCTACACCTGTTTCCATGATTCCGAGTTCCATCTTTTGGATAGTTAGAAGACCGTCTCTCAAACTTTATTTCCCGACTATAGTCATTTTCTTTATATAAGTTGGAGTTCTCTGTGTTTACCATAGACATTACAAACTAAGTTCCATACGGAGATGGTCTGCTTTATATGGTGAAAATGCCCTTGGTATGGAGTGAAATTAATTCCCAACCAAGCACGTTTTCCTGAATAATCGTCGTATGCAGTTGCATGGCTACTGTTGCTTGCTAATCGTCACATGACTCAAAACCGAGTAAAGAAACATCACATGTAATTTGTCTGGTCAATTTTATGTTTAAAAGGTGTCAGCTATTTACTGTTACTTTACTGTTTCACAGAAAAATAATCATGTTTCAAGCACATTTTTCATTCATCCATTTCTTACAAATATGTGATATGCAAGTATGTATAGCTGTATAGCTAGTTTTTACAAAATAAGAGTCTTTCACTTATGCAAGTCGTTGAGTAAACATTATTAGAGATTTTAACTACAGCATAAAATCATCTCAGACAAACCCAGTTGTTGAGATCTTACAACTTTTGTTTTAACAAGCTTGGTATAAAATAC